TGCCCTCCCCACCCCAGGACCCCCCCGTGCCCTCCCCATGCCCGGGACCCCCCCTCACCTTGCAGCCGCAGGCGGCCAGCGCGGGGGCCAGCGCCAGGCTGACCTTGTCCCCAACGCCACCGGTGGAGTGCTTGTCCACCAGCAGCCCGTGCCAGGCGGGCGGCCAGGCCAGCGTGCGGCCGGAGCTCGCCATGGCCCGGCTCAGGGCCAGCGTCTCAGCCGCGTCCATGCCCCGCAGCCGGATGGCCATCAGCATGGCACCTGGGGACACGCGGGGACACTTCAGTGTCCTCCCTGGGACCCCCAGCCAGCTGTGTCCTCTGGTCACATCCTGGGGTCTGCCCCCAGCCGTGTGTCACCTGCCCAGGACCACCCTGCCGTGTGCTGGAGTCCTGCTCTTGTCCTCCCGAGGTCCCCCCGAGCCGTGTCCCCTCCCTTGTCCTCCTGGGGTCCCCCAGCCGTGTGTCCCCTGCTCATGACCTCCCTGCCATGTCCTGGAGTCGTGTCCTGGAGTCCCTCTCTTGTCCTCCCGGGGTCCCCCCGAGCCGGTTCCCCTGTCCAGGAACCTCTTCCGTGTCTTGGAGTCCCTCTCTTGTCCTCCTGGGGTCCCCCCGAGTCGGTTCCTCTTCCTAGGAACCTCTTCCGTGTCCTGGAGTCCTTCTGTCCTCCTGGGGTCCCCCCGAGTCGGTTCCTCTTCCTAGGAACCTCTTCCGTGTCCTGGAGTCCTTCTGTCCTCCTGGCGTCCCCCCAGCCGTGTGTCCCCTGCCCAGGACCCCCCTGACATGTCCCCTCTCTTGTCCTCCCGGGGTCCCCCAGCCGTGTCCCCTGCCCAGGACCCCCCGGCACATCCCAGCCTGTCCCTCCCCTCGCTGGGACCCCGCCCCAGTGTCCCCCTGTCCCCGTGTCACTCCCCTGGCTACGTCCCCCGGTTCTGCCCGCGCTCCCCGGCCGTGTCCCCGGGTGTCCCCCGGGTGTCCCCCGGGTGTCCCCCGGGTGTCCCCGGGTGTCCCCGCCCGCACCGATCTGTCCCTGCTGCGCCGTGCCCTCGGTGACGCCGCGCACGAAGCTCCGGATCTCGGCGTCCTCCAGGCGCTCCCCGTCCCGCTTCTTGCGGATCAGGGTCGGGAGAGGTGTCGGGGTGTCCATCCCTGTCCCGGACAGCCGGAACCCCGCTTTGGGACAGCCGGCACCGCGATTCGGCCCGGCCGGTGACGGCGGTGACACCCCCGAGTGACACTGGTGGCACCCGCGGGGCCGCGCCCCGGTTACTCAGAGCCGTCACCCCGAGCCCGCACGGCCGCGCCCCGGTTCCCGCAAGGCCACGCCCGGTTCACTCGGGGCCGCTCCCGGTTCCCGCACGGCCTCGCCCCGGTTCCCCCAAGTCCACGCCCGGTTCCCGCACGGCCTCGCCCGGTTCCCTCGGGGCCGCTCCCGGTTCCCGCCGGCCGCTCCTGGTTACTCAGAGCCGTCACCCCAAACCTGCGGGGCCGCTCCCGGTTCCCGCACGGCCTCGCCCGGTTCCCTCGGGGCCGCTCCCGGTTCCCTCGGGGCCGCTCCCAATTCCCGCACGGCCTCGCCTCCCCCGGCGCTGCCGGGACCTGCCCGTGCCCGGCCTGGCCCGGTGCCCGGTGCCCGCTGCCCGCGGGCCGTGGGGCGGCTCCGGCTGTGGACTCTGAGCCCGGGACAACGAGCGGGGCACGGGAGAGGCCGCGGCAGGGGTGGCACGGGGGGTGACACGGGGGTGGCACGGGGGGTGGCACTGGGGTGACACAGGGGTGACACGGGGGTGGCACTGGGGTGACCCCCCCGGGTCCCTCATTCGCCAGGGACACTCACGGGTGATGCCGGGGGGCTCTGCCCTGCCGGGGACCCGCCTGTTCCGGAGATCCCAGAGATCCCAGAGATCCCACAGAGATCCCACAGAGATCCCACAGAGATCCCAGAGATCCGGGAGATCCGGGAGATCCCGGAGATCCCAGAGATCCCACAGAGATCCCACAGAGATCCCACAGAGATCCCACAGATCCCAGAGATCCGTGAGATCCCGGAGA